TGCCAGAAGAATTCTTAAACTTTCACTCAAGGTTATCAATGTCCATTTAGTAATTTATTGGCCACAATGTTTTCTTTCTTAGCGTTAAAAGCATGGTGAACTTTTAGCTTTTAGCTCAGGAGTAAACCTTTAACCTGGCCTAATCTCTTATCCAGGGATAGCTGAGTTATTTATTTGTTCAGGACAAGGAGATGAGCTAAGGGTTGTTGACCAAGACACTTTCCCACAGAGCAGGGAACCTGCACTTTTATGACCAGGCCACATCCTCCTGCCAGTCTACCAGTGTTCTGCAAGACAGGGATTATGAGAGCCACTGTTTTCAGTGCCCCTCCCTTTGGCAGATAATGCAGTCTGGACCTTTAAGTTTTAGGTTCAGCTCACCCTAGGGCCTGGCATCCTGGTTTCCTACATTTTTTATTATTCCACCCAAACACCAAAGAATACACTTTCTACTCAGTGCCCCATGGAACTTTTTCAAAAATTTACCACATACTGGGCCACAAAACAAATGTCAATAAATACAAAAATATTGAAATAATTCCATGTATTCTACCAGACCACATAGCAATAAATCTCAAAATCAACACTGGATGAAGCCCTAGTCACTACATGAACTCATGGTGATTGAACAACACACTCCTAAACAATGAGTGGGTCAAAGAAGAAATTAAAAAAGAAATAAAATAATTCCCAGAATTCAATGAAAAGGACAATACAACACAACACAACCTCACAGTCCTAAGAGGGAATTTTATAGCTCTAAGTGCCTACAGTAAAAAATTAGAAAGAGCCCAAATAAATGACCTAACACTGGAACTCAAGGCTCTGGAAAAGCAAGAACAAATAAAGCCAAACCCAGCAAAAGAGAAGAAATAACAAAAATCAGAGCAGAAATTAATGAAAGAGAAACAAAGAGAACAATACAAGATGAAATAGAAACAAAACAACACAAAGAATCAATGAATCTAAGAAAAGCTAAACAAGATAGACAGACCCTTAGCCTAACCAAAAGAAAGAAAAAGAAAACCCAAATCAACAAAATCAGAGATGAAGGGGTAAACATCACAACAGACACCCAAAAGATCCAGACCATTATAAAGGAATATACTACTAAATCTGAAAGTCTAAAAGAAATGGATGGATATCTGAAATCATGGGAATCACCAAAGTTAAACCAAGAAGATATCAACAGTTTATACAGACCCATAACATATAAGGAAACTGAAACAGCAATACAAAGTCTCCCAATTAAAAAAAGTCCAGGCCCAAAGGCATTTATAGCTGAATTCTACCAGACACTTAAAGAAGACTTCCAATAAATACTACTTAAATTATTCAAAATGATAGGAACAGAGGGAGAACTCTGAAATTTCTTCTATGAACCTGGCACCACTCTAAAACCAAAGCCAGGTAAATATACAACCAAAAAAGAAAACTATAGTCCCATATCCTTAATGAACATAGATGCAAAAATTTGCAACAAAATACTTGCAAACTGCATATAGACACACATCAAAAAGATCATTCACCATGATCAAGTGGGCTTTATCCCAGAGATGCAGAGATGGTTCAATATATGCAAATTAATAAACATCATTAGTCCTATATATGGACTCAAAAACCACATTGTTCCATGGGACTATGGAACATCTCTCAAAATATCCTGTAAATGTGGTGAATCTCCTGTCCTCTTGTTTAGGGAGGACATGGAGACCTCATGAGATGGACTTGAACCAGCATCTGGTCTACAAAGAGGAGGGTCTCAACTTAGAGGAAACATCTCATTCATGTTTCCAAGTGAAGACAGACATGGTCAAACAGGACCTTTGACTTACCTTCACATAGATGGAACTGGTAAAAGAAAGCAGCCAACTCCTCCCAAGCCCATGTGACCCCTGATGAAAGATCCTCAAATGACCTTGAGTGTAAAAATAAATTGATTTATTTGGGCCAACTCTATGATCTTAAACAACCAAAAGGAAAGTATAACCAACGAGTAAACTCATCAGTATAGTTCTTTAAGAGTTCAAGGGGATGCACGACCCAGACATTAGGCTTAAGTCTGTATAAAAAGTTATTTGGAAAATTCACCTTGATGATTTTGTGCCTAAAGTGCTGCTCAGATGTAAGGCTTCAAATCTTGGTCTCCAATATTGTAGTGCCCACCTGTAGCTAAGAGAGACAACCAGCTATTGTTCAAAATGATGGATAAATTTGTTTTCTCCTCCTATCTAGAAGCCTTTGAGAGGGAACTGACACTGATGCTAAGCACTCCAACTGCTATCAAAATGCCTGAAAGCAAATCCTGAATCCATCAACCTAGAGTCCAGCCTTGGAAGAAAAAAGAAAAATGAGGAGAAACCCAATAGAAGGATGCCTTTGAAAGCACTTGTCAAGAAATTCTAATGGACTCTCATATGAAGATTTGAAAATTGCCCTCTTCTGACTTTTTTCTAGTTCCCTGTCTAGAACTTGCAACACTAATTACTCTTGCTTTTACTTCTCCTTCACATTTCCTATTCAAGATCCAAGGACTTTCTTTTCCCATTAGAGATAAGAGTTATGCAATCTGCAAGTCTTTTAGATAGACCCACTGAAGGGGTACTCCAATTGCCTCTCCCTGCATCCCTGTTCAGCATGGAAGAAGCCAGAGTGGTCGGGAAAGAGAGTTCAGAATATAACTTTTTCCTTTTGTTCAAAATGAACTGTCTTAGTAACCAAATGGAGCTGAAAAGCTATTTTTATCTTGGCTGTCATAGGGGAAGGGGAAGAGCTGAGGATATGGCTTATTTGATAAAGCACTTGCCATGCAACCTTGAGGCCCTGAGTTTGATAGCCAGAACCCACATAAAAATTTGGCACAGTGCTTTTAGCAACACACTGTTCCAAAGGCCAAAAACGTCAAAATGTCAAAAGTATGTGGGAGCTTGTATCTAATCCTTAAAAAATTTTAGGGTTACCTCTTTAGAAAGGGGGATGTTAGAAGGGAGGGAGTGGGCATGGATTTGATCAAAACACCTTATATGCTTGTATGAAATTCTCAAAAAAGTTTTTGTAAAAGTTAAAAAAATTAAAACCTCCCATTAATAATTCATATGAACAAAGAGGAATTTATTATAAAAGTTTGCATTAATTTGTATTACTTTTTCTTTTTAAATATTTTATTGAGTTTTTGTACATTTCATATACTAGATCTTGATCAAATTTAGAATCCTCCCCAATCAGTACTCTCCCATACCGCCCCCCGCACTGGATTTCATGCATTCTGACATATATGTTAAGCCAAGCATTAGTTCCTAGATATTCCCTCTGAGCAAGTTCATTCATTGAAGACTAGTCAGCCTACCTAGAATCATTCCCTCAAAGAAGAACTACTCTAATTCACCCAGCAGTACTCAGTTACAATAGTTCTCTGGCTAGGATTGAAGAGAGCTGCCAATTTCCCTCATCCTATGCTGAGATTTCATTTAACTGAGTTGACATAGGTCTTGTGCATGCTGTCACCATTGCTGCAAGTTCATATGAAAAGTTTCCAGTGGCCTGAAAGGTTCTGTTTCCTTATCTCTGTGCAACAAACCTGGCTCTTACAATTTTTCTGTACCCTCTTCCACAATGGTTCCTGAGCCGTGCGTGGGTAAGTAAGGTTTAATTGTAAGAGTCCTATTCAGGGACAAACACTCTGCAGTCTCCTGTTCTCTAAAACTTAGTCAGTTGTGGCCTTCTGTGTGCATCATACTTTTTTGTAGGAGGAAGCTTCACTGGTGAGATTCGAGGTGTATATTAGTATTCTCTCTACCCCCTTTTCTATTGTGTTCCATGAGCTTTAGGTATAGAGGTTCCACTGTAGATGTGTCATTTAGATCTGTGCATCTCTCAGACATATAGTGTCTGTGTGTGACCAGTTGTGGAACTCTGTAATAGCCTTCATCTGTTGCAAAAAAAGAAGCTTCTTTGGTGAGTGGTACATGGTATACTTGTGTGTAAATATAAGGATCCACATTTAATATACAGTTAGAAAGCTCATTTGTCTAGAGTTATGACAGAGATAGGGTTTTCTCTATGGTGTGTGATGTCTTCAGCCATGTGTGTTTGGCTTTGATTGCAGTGCCACCCATGAATTACTGCCCACTGAGAAAGCTTTAAGTCCAATTAAATAGCCGTTGATTACCCCCTAGATAAATGCACCAACACTGCACTGCTACATGTGTTTTGTCAGTCATTATAGTGGTTATTAGGCTTTGAAGCTGGGGTTGGATGGACCATTGATTGATTTTTTTCTCCCTTAGCAGCTTGCATAGTATCCTCTAGAATTATGAGATTTACAGTTCAGGGCAGTGGCTTCCAGGTCAGTTCCAGCTCCAGCTCCAGTGCTCCAAGTCCTGTGTCTGAAGTATTTTCTGTCTTCAACAACAAGGTCTTACCTTCAAGTTCTGGGAGTTAATTAAGGGTCGTTGGAATAGCCTGTGTTATTTGGGAAGTCTCACGGAATACCCTGCCTTGCACTGTGTTGTTATATAGTCTTCAGGCATACACATGCAAGCAGGTTCAGATATTCTATGTGTATTTTTCAGGAAGGGGTTGAGTTACTACACTCGACCATGGGTTTTCATACCACCTAAGCTTTAGTTATCCCTGTTTTTTTTACATCACCTAAGGTTTAGTTATCCCTCCTCTCACACTCTCTTCCTGTATAACCTCCCTCCCCCTTCCCTAGTTTAAGTATGCTCATTTCCCCCATTTTCCCTCTGATTATCTGTTATTCCTATTATTCCGCCTCTCATGAATCCCTTCTTTCCTTTGACCACCATGGTTCCTTGTATGTCTTTCCCTCCTATTTCTCAATAGAATACCTCCATTTTCCCCATTTCCCCCTCTTAACATGTTTTCTGTTATTATTCTCTCCCTCTCTCAGGCCCTTTCTCTCCTTTTACTTCTGTGCTTCCTTTTTACTTCCCTGGCTCCTGCTGTTATATTAGAAATGGATGACATACACCCTGAGATTAAATTATTCTGTTGTAGAACATTCTCAGGCCACTTTTAATGTCTCTGTTCCTCAGGCTGTAGATGAAGGGATTCAGCATAGGGGTGACCACAGAGTACATCAATGAGGACACAGCACTGTTTCTGTAAGAGTCTGAAAGAACTGATCCAATATATACACCAATCCCTGTTCCCCAAAATAAGAAAACCACTGAGAGGTGAGATACGCAGGTGGAGAAGGCTTTAGACCTCCCACTTAAGGATTGCATGCTCAGAATGGAGGACACAATTTTATAGTAAGAAAAAAGGATCCCTGAGATGGGAAACATACCATAAACGATACTAAGTAAATATGGGAAGGCACCCTGCTGATAAAAGGAGTCTCTGCATATGAAGCCGAGCCCATAGGCTATCCGGACATGGAGAGACTGCTACTTTACACAACAGGGGTCCCCAACAGTCATCTGTAATGCAACCAAAAGATATATCTGGGTCTCCAGAAAGCTAAGTAAGAAAGACACCAGAAGTAAAGTGACACAAAAACGAGGGTTCATGATGACATGATAATTCAAGGGATGGCAGATGGCCACAAATCGGTCATAGGCCACCACAGTCAGAAGCATGTCATCCATACATCCAAAAGTGACAAAAAGAGACATCTGAGTGAGACAACCCACGTGGGAGATGACTCTGCTGTGGATTTGGATGCTCACAATCAAATTTGGAACTGTAGTGGAGATTAAACCCATATCAGCCCAGGACAAGCTCCAGAGGAAGAAATACATGGGGGTGTGGAGGTGGGAATCAGCGTGGACAGCCCGGATGATGAGCAGGCTCCCAGGCATAGAAACCAAGTACATGGACAGGAACAGTCCAAAGAGGATGGGCTGAAGTTCTGGGTCCTCAGAGAATCCCATGAGATAAAATTCTGAGACAAGTGTCAGATTTTGTGATTCTCTATTACTACGACACCTTCAAAATACAGAAGATCAAAACAAAGAAAAAATCAATAATATCATTTTGTAGGTACAGTGACCAATTCTTCAATAGATAAGTAGATATAATGATACATATATACACTACTATACATTCTTATACATAAATGATATGTAAAAATTGTTTATTTTCTGTGTTTATATAGGCTATCTCTAGATGAACCTGGGTGTTCTTGAATTCATGGTTATAGCAATTTTCTTGCCTCACATTTGTGAATACTGGGATACTGGGATCACAAGTGTTTTGAAACATAGCCAAACACTATATATGTGACTCTCTCTCTCTCCCTCTCTCTCTCTCTCTCTCTCTCTCTCTCTCTCTCTGTCTCTCTCTCTCTGTGTGTGTGTGTGTGTGTATTGTAGTTTGTCTTTGAAACAGTTTTTTTTAATATTCAGAATGTGTTACTGTGTGGTGTTTTGTTTTCTTCTGTATTGTTTGTTTTGTTGGAGATTGGGTTTTGCTGAACAGCTCATCTATCCTTGAACACATTATGCAGTGAAAACTGTTCTCAAAAGAACAGTCATCATGCCTCAATCTTCTGTCTACAAGCATGGACAACATATGATATATATTTTTACAATGAAAATTAACAACTGAAATATTTATACTTTAGATGTGTGCACCTTCAACAATACTTATCATTATTAGAAAAGTTTAAGCATTATGCCTCTTTTTGAAAGTCACTCAATTTCACAAGTTTACAAGGCCAAGAACATTATAGGCAATAAATTTATGTTCATAGTAAAACACAGTTTAGTCATTTCAGAAAAATATATGAGGGTGAGAAAGATGCATCCATATTTAAGAAAAGAACTTATCATCATTTCTAAATGGAATTAAGCAGCAGACAAATATGCCTTATTGTATTCTAAGACAATGGTATAAATTACTTTGCAGCAGATCACATAATAAATGAATTTGCAAAATTTGACACAAAATCAAGTTATTTCTTAAAGGAAACATATTGTTATGCTCCTGTCTATACTTTCAACATCTACCATTCTAGGACTTGTCTATTTTCATCCTCTATTTCATCATTTGCTTGGTGAAATGATAATTAACATTTGAAAGTATTAAACATACTTCTTTCATTGTTGGCTTTGGAAGACATCACATTTTGAGAAACATAGACAATTAACTCAATATTTTCCATCATGTCAGAGTGAAAATATAGCATTAGAGAGTACTGCACCTGCTGTTGATCAAAAAGATTAAATGATAAGAATTTTGTTTGGATTGTTATTTAATATGGAGGCAGTTATGAGCAGAGTACACTAACATTAAAAGTAAATTAAAGAATCTGAAATATTATTTGTTCAGTTCTATTTTTTTATCAACCTTAAAAATATGTAGTGAGAAAACGGCTCCTTACTGTGTGTTAGAATCCAGTTCAACAGGTGACCCTACCCCAGTGTAGTAAAGCCTCATAACACAGGCCATGGGGCCTCTGAAAAACAGGAATTGAGTCAGCATCTGCTGCTCCAATGAGGGGACAGTTTCAACATAGTCTGTTTCCTCAGATAAGTTTAGAAGATAACAGGCCTCTGCACCCATGACACAACTGCTGCAAGAGCTGTCTCAGCACAAGCTGCTTGCCCCTGATAAGTTTCGCAATGTATAGACCCCTGCATCCCGCCAAAACTATTTTGAATTATTTTTCCCACCTTCCACATTTCCTAACCGCCTCTAAAATCCTCCAGCCAGTAGCCTTCAAACTGGTGGTCTTGCCTCAATCCCAAGGTTTGAAAGCCACCCCAGGTGACTTCCCAAATAAACCATGCTTTTGTTGGAGTCCTTCTGAGTGTGATTTTTCCTAGATTTACCTGTCACTCTGTTGATTTAATATTCTGTAATGGAACGGTGATAGTGCTTAGTACTGTTTCTAATAACAAACCCTCTCTCTCATATACAGTGGAGGGCATCATTAGCTCCAAGGTTACAGTCTCTCAATCTCCATGATAACGAAATTGACTTTTTTTCAGGCTTCCTGAAACAGGGACTGAAGCTCTCAGTTCATCTGAGTTAAAACACTGACCTCAGCCGATTTAATTCATTGAAAAGAAAAAAAGAAAATGTACATGGTGGCTTACAAACACAATGAGAAATTTCATCATACCAAAAATGAAACTAAAATACTATGTAAATGATTGTAGTATGGAAATTTCAGCAGAAACTTTTGAGATTGTTTAAATATTTTTAAGCTGGTATAACAATATATTCACCCATGCCAATATTTAAATATTTGATCTCTCTCCTCAGACAGAAAACCAATAAAATAAAAGTAACACCTTTAAAGCTTTTGTATTTCTTTCTTTCATTAAAATTGATAACCACCATCTTAGAATGTTTTTTGGCATTTAGAAAATGTTCTATAGCTATTTATTATTACCACCAATAATAATAATACCAACTTGATATATTTACATATCAAGTATATTTTGTTGAGGTCTGTCAAGATCATACACACTCAGAATGATATGGCCATAGTAATTTTATAGAAATCCAGTTAATTACACATGTTTCACTTCTTGGAAACTCTGTGTGATTCTATACTTCTACACAGTTACCACCAAAGTTAACAAGCATCCCCTAGAACTGGTGTTATGGACTGTTGCTGGCCACCATGTGGGTGCTGAACATATTTTCTTGTGTATGTTTCTATTGTGTGACACTTTTCAGGGGAGACATAAACAAACATCTACTCACCCCAGACACAGGACCATCAATAAACCAAGGTAAGGATAACATGAAAATCCAGCTTGGTGAATCAACAAGCCTTATTGGTGTTACTTACAGCAATATGATTGAGGGTTTACTTATACGAATAGAATATACTCAAAGACAGCTGAATCACCAAAAGCCCACCCCTACTCAAGAAAAAGGACACCTAGAGCTCACTTCACATCAGTAAGGCAGCTCATCAGGTTAGACATTGTCTTTTTCAGGTCTCAGCCTCTTCCAGGCAGCTCAGTTCATCTCTGCTTCTTCCAGGCAGCTCTGCTGATCTTCATCCTCCCAGAACCATGGCTGGCCTGAGTGTCCCTCAGCAGTCCTTCGGGCTTACAGAAGTTTAGGGACAGAGTGGCCTAGTGAACCTACTCAATTTCACAGACTTCCAAAATCTATTGAAGTGTTTACTTCCTCAGCTTAGCAAGCTTCCTTGCAGGATTGAACACCCTAAAAACATCAGGCTGTTTACCTCCCTATTGAGCATCCTGTTCCTTACCTCCCTTTAGACATCCTGTTGTCTATCTTTCTGCAGATTATTGTTCTTTACACAGCTCCCCTCTAAAGTGGAAGGAAAGTTTTATCTTGGAAAAAATTGCTAGACAACAGTTTTCATGTCAGTATTGCTTTGCAAGTCATAAACAGTTATTAAACCTACCTTAAAGTCATCTACATGTCGTATAAGTAATATACACCTTTTCCTCATCAAAGGTAGTGTTTTGTGTCAGCAAGTAATTCTTAAATGTCAGTTAAATGTATTGATTTCAAATGCTTTACCTAATGCACAGCATTATCTGAAGGGGATACATCTCTTGACTTAAAATTTTATTATGACAATATTTCCAAAATCCATAAATATCTCCATGTCATAAAGAAGATAATGCTGCATAAGGTGTTGATGGATAACATTTCTCTCATGATACATATTCAGTTTTATAATTTATAACCTACATTTCTTTTCATAATAAAAATTCAGTAATTATGATGTATGTCCTTTTATTCTTGAGATTTGCCATCAAATACCACAACCGTTTGTCCAGTAGCATTTACTTTATAATAATACAGCAACAAATTGCATTCTTCATGGGGAATAATGGGGAATAATGTTTCTTTCCGCTCCAGTAGAGACCACAGTGTCCTGGGATTGGAGATCACATATAAATAATTAAGTCCTGAATAATTAACTTCCTTTATCTCTTCTTTGTACTCTTGCTGACTGATAGAAAATGTAGGTTTGTAATGGCCCCAAGTGGAATGCCCAAATTGTAATAGCCAAAGTAACTTCATTTTTTTTCATTTTGTACAGAGCCACTTTAAACCTCAGAAGCTAGGAAAAAGGCCAGCTTCAAGGTCGTCTGAACTTAGTTGCTTCCCTTTAGAAGAGTGCTTTCTTTGGAGTAGCTGACCTTGGTCACCTCCCAGGCACTTCAGCTGTGCTTATTGCATAGCCAAGAAATCTAAATAACAATAGTAATCAGAAAGTTCCTTTCTGTCAAGGTCTCTATATATCAGTTAAGAGAAGAACTAATCAAATCTTGTTTTGGCTTCCGAAGTTTTCCTTATCTGCTAAATTGGGCCTTCCGGACACTACTCAGGATTACCTGGAAATATCATGTGTGGTGAAATTTTTATGGTATTTGTGGGTTTTGCTTTTATAAACTAGTTTCACTGTGGGTCCAGAATCTGACTAAGGGACCATGGATGGCTATAGCTCTGGTACATTTGACAAATTAAAATTTGAATTGGGGAGCTGGAGAGGTGGCTCAGCTGTTAAGAATACTGGTTGTCCTTGTAGAAGACCCAGGTTCAAATCCCAGCACCCACATGGCAGCTAACAAATGTCTGTAACTCCACTTCCAGGGGATCCGATGGCCTCTTCTGTCCTCCCTGGGAATTGCACAACACAGGTGCACTTACCAATATGCGGGCAATACACGCATGCACAAACTGCGTAAAAGGCTAAACCCAGAACAAGATATGGGTGACAGTTGGAGAAAGTCTCTAGCTCCATACACACTGATCAGTGTATTTTTAAAATATTTTATTATTTTTATTTTATGTGTATGAGTGTAGTACCTGCCTGTACAAAAGTGCACGTATGTTGAGCAATGCCTGTAGAGGTCATAAGAAGGCATCAGATTCTCCTGGAATTGGTGATATGGATGGTTATTAGACACCAAGTGGGTGCTAGAAATCGAACCTGGGTCCTCTGCAAGAGCAGCCGGTGTTCATAACCACTAAGCCATCTCTTCAGCCCCTGATTGATGTATGTTTTACTAAGCATTCCTTTTTATGAAAACAGCAAGTTTATGGTGCTGTGCAGTCTGCAAATGGCAACAGACCCAAAATTATGAGAAGCTCTGTAATGTATCTTGGCCTGCAGCTTGATGCTTTCCTGCCCCAACTCTTTATGGTTCTTTTACTTTTTATAAACAGAAAGGAGCAGACTAACATATATCTCCAATAAATCTGTGAAAAGAAATCTAGGTTTCACAACTAATGAATATTTTGTCTGTGGTTTCCTTTTAAATAAATAAATATATCATTAAGGTGATAGTGTCTTTATTAATCAATGTAATTTAAGGGTACTTGAAGCTTAGAGAAATGTAGTGTCTGTTCTGGGTCTCACCCAAGGCTAAGGTTAATGTTATGCTTCTACTGCTTCATCTCTTTGTACAACCATGAAAATAACTACCATAGCCTGTGAATGATTTATACATTTCAGTGGAATTATAGGTCACTTATGTAAATGACATAGACATACATAGAGCTGTTTTGTCTTGTCTCTAACTCTGTGGAACATTCCTAAAAATGGAAGAAATTACAGCCAAGAAAGCACCAAGTGTGCTGAAGTCAAAGTAGAATACACCCATTCAGTGTTTACATAGGATCATATTCTTTCAATGATTCCTACAGGACAAGATAATGCAAAGACTCTGGAAATCACAAGTAAAACTAACAGTCATTTGTCTACAACTACAGCAAATAGATAAAGACAAAAATAAAATGTTCTCATACAGAAACTAGAAAATTTCACATCAAAGGGCACTTTATGGGACTACTATTAACATTAAATCTATGGCTTTCAATGCTACTAATATCAAAATTTTCTCTAATTTTGTTTTTACGCATGTGCGTTTATGTTTATGTATTAATGATCATGTGTATACAGGTGCACTTGTAAGTTTCTGTACACAGAGGAAACCAGCAGTCTAGCTCTGCTGTCATTCCCAGGCACTCTCCACTTTCTTTTATATTTGAGAAAATCTGACACTGGCCTGAAACTCAAGATTGAGCTGATATCAAGCAAGAAACAGGAATATGCCTTCCATACATTCCAACCTTCCCAGTGCTTGGATGACAAACACATGAAACCATGCCCAGCTTCCTTGTAATGTGGATTCTGGAATCAAACTAAGGTCCTCCTGCTTGTGAGGCATGCAGTCCACTGAGACAAGTACTCTACTGACTAAGATATCTCCTCAGAACAGTTTACCATAATTTTACAAAATGCATTAAAACCATATGGAACAATCAGTATCTATTCTTATTACAAAATACAGTGGTCTAAGGCCATAATGCATTCAGATGATAATGCTGTTTCAGAGATACTAACAAATTGTTTTATGCCACAGATGAGGTAAGTGGAGGTGACAGCATTAAACATTAAGTTATGAAACCCTCTATGAGATGCACTGAACTCATTCATTTTTTTCCAGACATCGAGGCTTATGCAAGAATCCAAAGGTCTTGGTTACAGGAACATCCTAGGCACAAGTTTAAATAATGTCCAGGTTCTGAATCAAGGATCAAATTGAGATACTATC